CGTAGAAAGTCTGCGGAGTGTTTCTCAAAATAGCAGGTAAAGCACCCTGTATGATCGTATTACTACCGATAATTCTCTGGCTGAGGCAGTGTAGAGCTTTTCATATCTACAAAAAAAAATAAATTTTGTTTAATAAACTTTGTGCCTATTAAAAATGAAAAATATTATAACATTTGTTACATCAGCTAAAGTAATGTTAATAAACCAGTTTTCCATTATAGATAACTACGCGAAACGATATGTTAATTCAAATTGTAAATTGAAATATTTTGTAACATCATTCGATTGAAATTATCAGTTCGCCTATCGAATTAAATGCAAGGTATTAATATGCGTCACAACGAATATTACTCTCTGATTATTTGTTAGTTCATTAATATCTTCCTTTCTGTAAATAAAATGATATTACGTTAATATAATAACAATACAAAATGCATTGTAAAAGTATGATTTTATAACTTGAATACGTGTGTTCTTGCTTATCTACAGGGGACCCATAAAGTTTTTTAATAAATATTATGAAATTGTTATGTTATCGTATTTAGCGTTATTAAATAAATCAGTTTAAAGAAACTAATAAATAGCTATAACACATCTTGTATCAGAATTATTACGTTTTTACGTAAAAAACGTTTCTTGAGTTTCAAGAATATGCGACCATGTAGCTCACCAAATACTGATAAAATTGTATCAAAAACATTTTTAAGTTACCCCATCGAAAAGATAAAAAAAGATATATGAATACAACCATTGACAGTGAATTAATTCAATTCGTTCAAGTACATTACATACACGTGTAAAATGTAAAATAAATGTATGCATAATAAATTTTAGGACCTTTTAATGACAAAACACATTTCTGTCCAAGTTTCGTGTCTGTATCCACATTATAAATAATACAGTTCCTGTCATAAGATAACTGTTATCAACTACCGAAGTCATTTTTCCTCGTCGCTAACTATTATAAACGACTAAAATAGAGTTTCTCTCGTTGATATCTGCTATGTGCAACCAAAGTAGAGGTTCTCTCACCTATAATTGTCACGAACAATTGAAATAAATTTCCTTCGTGAATAACTATTATAAGTAGCCGAAATATAATTCCCCTCATCAATAATGATTACTAGACTGCGGATCTTTATGCAAAATCAAACTTGTCTAACTTAATTGTATGAAACCAAAATTGGACGAAGATATCTTTCCTTTCCTAATAATTCTAATAAGTTGAAAATAACGTAACAATATTCTTAAATTCTTTTAATAGTTTTATTATTATTAGTTTTACTTTTATTATTATTCTTTTACAGTTTTATATTCTATCTATTTATGTTTGTCATAAGTGTATAAAATTCGCAGTCAAATTATTACGAATAAGGAAATATTTTGTCAGTTGATTATAATAGTTATTTGCAACTAAATTACAAATTTTTTTAATCCTATCTTTTTAATCATATAAATTCGTATCTCTTCGTAATAAATGACCTCAAATTAAATAATAAACAAGTTTCAGTTATTTTTTCTACAAACACTTAACAAATGTCTCTTGGTTTTGGTCCGTGGAAAATATTTTATTTTCATTGGTATTTACTATATATATAATTCAAATTGCTATTTTACACAATTTTTATTATAATTAAGGAATTGGTCATAATTGATTACGAATTTTATATCCCATCATAGAATTATGCTACTTGTAATGAAAGTCACGGTTCCACGGCTTTTTTTGAAGAAATGAAAAAGGCGATCAGAGAAATACGTGTCAAGTACTTTTCCGAGAACATCTCTCACAAAAATTTCATGAGAATTAGATTCTGCATCATATACTATTTGTATTTGATGGTACAGTAGACTCCCTATTATCTGTTCCCTGCGGGATCAGACTATGGCCGAATAAACGAATGGCTGGTTAATCTGACAGCATGTTTTATAGATTATGTATATTGAAAAAAATGATATATATGTATAATATTCATTCTTTTTAATAATGTGCGTGCGTGCGTGCGTGCGTGCGTGCGTGCGTGCGTGCGTGCGTGCGTGCGTGCGTGCGTGCGTGTGTGTGTGTGTGTGTGTGTGTGTGTGTGTGTGTGTGTGTGTGTGTGTGTGTGTACACTTATGTATTTACATACGGTACATATATGTATAAAATCAAAGCATCTAAATTTAATATAATGCTACATTATTGAATGTCATTTTTCAAAAAATTCCGCTGTTTAATGTGATATTGAATTTTCATGCTGTTCAACATATCTCATTTCCTTCTGCATGACTCACTTTGCCATCCCCATTTGTACTCGAAGTTCTTAAATTATTTGATTCCTCATTTTCCATAAATTCTGGTTGAACGTTAGACTCGATAATTTCGTCACTTATTAAATTTGAGATAATAATAGAAAGAAATGCGGAATCCTGATCTCAGAGATTTAGTACTAATGAAAAAAAAATTAGTAATCGGAAGATTATCTCAACAATGATTAATAAATATGAGAAGAATTACGCAAGAAAATGCATGAAATATGAATAGCTGAATAGTTTTCATTCCGCCGGATAATCGGGCGTCTACTGTAAACAAAAAAGTTTTTGTTTATACTTTTAAAAGTAGCACACATAGTTCATCATTATCCATCTAATAAGATATTGTATTTTATTAAAAAAGAACGTATAACCAATATTGCTAAAATAACGAAATACAATTATCATCGCAAATACAATGAAATCATAAAAATTTGAATACTCGTCGTCCGATTGCTTTCAAATTTGCACACATCACTTTCTTACCCAGTGTCATAATTCAAGAAGGAGTAATGCCAGACAAATCTCAAACGAATGACATGCAGAGTGTTCCACGTAACTGTCGCCACAATTTTTCGAGCATTTTCAACAATCTGACAAAATAATGTTCCAAACAAAAGTTAATCAGTTTTTGATCAGCTACAGATTGCTGTAACAAATTTCAGAAAATATGTTTTATTCCAAAAAAATAAAGGTCATCTTCATTTTTTTAAATTGCATGGTACATTATTTACTTCATATTATAGTAGCTCGTGTTAGGTCAAATTGAACGAACCATGACCTTCGGATGACCTTGACTTTAAAACAAATGAAACCTTTGAAGTGACGTTTTCGTTGAAAATTGTTTTAGTTTACGTTGTATCAATTCGAAATATGGAACAGCTAAAGCAGCATCGCTTCATTGATGATCACTTTGTCTGACGTCAAGGTCAGCGGGAGGTTATAATAAAACAGGTCGTTCGTTTTGACAACAAGCTACAATAATATGAAGTAAAATATATAAAATACAATTTTTAAAAAATGAAGGCGACCTTGATTTTTGCAATAAAACATTTTTTCTGGAATTTTTTTATATAGCATTCTGTAGCTGACTAAAAACTGATTGACTATTGTTAAGAACATTTTTTTGTCAGACTGTCGGAAGTGCTCGAGAAATCGTGGCGACAGTTACGTGAAACACGCCGTATAAGTTTGTGACACCCTGTACGTAAAGATCCCACAGAGTAAAGTTTAGGTCTTTACGTTTCGCATCTAGTGCTTCCTAATTCATTGTTTCTGACNGGAATTTTTTTATATAGCATTCTGTAGCTGACTAAAAACTGATTGACTATTGTTAAGAACATTTTTTTGTCAGACTGTCGGAAGTGCTCGAGAAATCGTGGCGACAGTTACGTGAAACACGCCGTATAAGTTTGTGACACCCTGTACGTAAAGATCCCACAGAGTAAAGTTTAGGTCTTTACGTTTCGCATCTAGTGCTTCCTAATTCATTGTTTCTGACCATTCCTTACTCAACCTTTTTTTGTTTGTATCAGAATTAATCCTGGAGTATAGTTAAGGACGAGGCGAATGGTATCAAGAAGCGAACTTTAATGACGGGATAAAGTTTAATCAACGGAATTTAATCCAATCGTGTAGAAGCACGAGGCTCGCGGGACGCGGCCGCCCTCGTTATAGAAACAATACGAGCGAAGAAGCAATTATTTTCAAGCTGTTGCGTAGGCATGTATATAACTTGCCATTCTGTTACCCACCTCTTTCTCTAGAACGTTTTCACGATCATGGATGATTATCCAGCCCATACGCCAACCTGGTACTAAAAATCTGCAACATCGTCGGGATTGTTCGTTTACAATTCAATGAAACAGAAACACCATTGTAATGCGGCCGTTTGATGAGCGATACGATGATTGGACCACAGCTCGACGGGAAATCCGTCAGAAAATGGAAAACGATTTAGCAGTTCGTTTAGTAGGATTTGTTAACAGGACGGATTAAAGTGTTCGAAACACTGTATTTAAAAGTGAATTTCTCGTGTACGTGATACAGTCAGACAGAAATGGGAATTAGTTGACAATTTAGTACTAGTCGAGCGTAGGCGGATTAATACGTTCGTATTGAACTCTATCGATTGTTGCTTAATAAAGGCAGGCTTTCATGCATTTATGATACACCAATAACTGCAGCAAGCGATAAAACGAGAAAC